ATCCACCACCCTTGTCACCTGTGTCAGTCTTTAGCTGTCACTGAGAGGTTTGAATTGCTCAGCTGTGAGGTTAGCATGTCTGTTGAACACAGTCACTAGTTCTTTTTTAAAAGCTGAAAGTTTAAGGGTTTATTTTTTAGGCTGTATCAAAATGTCACTTTGTCAAAACTACTACTTCTAAATGCCATGTACACTCAGTGCACTATCTGTGACAGCCCAGCATCTTGCCACTCTAAGTCATCCACACTGGTTCTTGGTTAACAAGCAGAAAAGCCCAATAGGATAGGGCTAAACATGGAAGGGAGAGAGCCTGAGAATATGTTTGTGACACAATTCTAAAATTGTGACAATGAATACTTTTTTAAAATTTTTCTTTTTTTTTGCATTAATAACATTATATTCCACTGAATTCATATTTAATGAATGATAATCATGAGCTAGGCACTTGGCTAGGATTTGGAAATAAAATGATAAATAAGATCGCCAAGGTCCCAACCCTTAAAAAAACCTCCTAGAGAAATACAATTAACCATATAATTAAAATAGGGCATATCAATCTCAAAGGCAGAATCCAGGAGGAGCATCCAACCCACAAACAGGTAGTGGGGAGGAGCCTCGCTAGAAGAAAAGATGTGTTTGTTGAAGCTTCTGCTTCCTATTTCCTTTTTTTAATTTTATTTTTTAAATGGAGTTGAACGGCCTCTCTTTCTCATTATAAAATAATACTGTCATTAGCCAGCCCTAACAGGTCATTTATCACAATAGTGGGCCTCACTATTACCCATCCACTGAGCAGGTTTGATGTGGTTTATCTAGGACCTTCCACCTCTAAAGTTCTATGACACATGACCCAGTGCAGGTGACTTCTGTTTGCAGATGGTACAATGGCAAAAATACACTTGTGGACCATTTCTCCCCCAAAAAACTGCATGATTTTATATATTTCACCCTTTATATGTATAAAGAGAATTAATTAATTAATTATAATTTTCATTTAGATAAAATATAATTATGATGGTAAAATCTTTGCATGGTTTCATTTTTAAAAATCAAAAATGCATTGTAAGATCCAATATAAAATATTTGGGATTATCTACGTTTTTGAAAGTATCTGTGCCATTGTGCATTGAGTAGAAATGCGTTGGTTATAATCTGTGGTTTGTGTGATCTGTGCTTTTTCTCCACTGGGACATAGAGTAATTGAAAGTTGAGTGCAGACTTCACAACTGTGTTTTTGAATTGATCAAATCATCTTAGGATTGCTTTGTAAAGCTTAATTAATGCTTTTTAAATGCTGTAAGATATTATTAAAGGCATGGAAAGAAAGTTTTATTCTGAATTCTAAAATATTAGCCTTCCAAATTATATCTACAAAGCATATGAGATTTCTTTTATGTCAAAAATCTGCAGAAGGGAAGTGGGGAGGGAGGGAAAGAACTGAGGAGATGATCTTTCCCGAAAAGAAACAGGAGCAATGACATTTCCACTGGGTTCCTTTGTGTGACGCATCGCCTGGGAGCACCATTCTGATCTCCAAAGCTCCTGTAATTTACATTGCAGAATTCATTATGCTCAGAATCATTGTGTGCCATGCTACCAAAAGATGACCTCCGACAGTCAATCAAAGAAGTTTCCCATGCAATTTACTCAATGCTTGTGAGTGTAAAGGGAGGGGGGGAAAAACACTAAAATCCTCCATTCCTGAATCCTTACTTAAAATTTCTAGTTATCTGATAAATGTGAAATAAAGAGATTCTAGCGTCTTTGTTAATAATATTCTTTTGAAATCAGTGAAATGCATGTCTTTCAACAATAAATGGGATTAGCTAGAGTTGATTATCAATCATGAAAAGAAAACCATTTAATATTTAATTATTTTAAAAGTAGATCATTCTTCTACCTGGAATGACTAAAAATCATAATAATAACAATTCCCTTTATTCATTCTATTCTGAATAAAAGTCTGTTGAAATGTTAGACAACTATTTTATTTTTGTCATATTCTTCTTTTGTATTTAAAACATTCAGTGAAAAAATTGTTTAAAGAAGTGACAAGAACATAACCATTTTTAAGAAAAAAAATTGGTTTACGATCATTTCACTGGGTAGACATATGTGAAGTAAGGACTTCTAAAAAGTAAAGTAAAAACTAAATTGCTAAAAGTGATTCCAAATAATGATGGTGATTTAGGAAAGTCAAATGGAAAGATCTTACAGGACAGAAAAGAATTAGTACCCCCAAAACCTCCACAGATCAAACTGTTCCTTGTTATTTGGAATACCATCACCCAGATCTCCTCTCCAAGGCCCATCCCAAATGTTCCTTCTCTGATATAATTTTCCTTGGTAAATATATAGTGAGTCTCTTCCCTCTGAGTGCATGTAATGGGCAGGCTGCTAATGATACAAAGATTAAGAGGGAAGATTCTCAGTTCTATTCATGAAATGGGGGAGTAAACCATAATTACACAAATTACAGTCCAACAGGTAAAGTGCCATTAGAGCTACTTGACCAAGTGAGCTCTAGGAAAAACTATAAGAGATATTGACAGGCCTCATGGTTCCACAGTGCTTTCTCCAAACTTCTGCCAGGACAGTTTATTTGTAGTCAGGTCAATCTCCATGCTAAACTGGAGCAACACCATTCATTCCTGTAGTGTCCTGTATGTGCTGGGCATTGTGCTGGACACACTGTCTAGAATTCTGATGCACATGTAGTCCATGCCACAATCGATATAAAGCCCACCAGAAGCCCCAAAACATGAAAAACAAAGGGGATGTATTTTTGTTGAATAAAAAAATTAATAATTCAATGAGCTCACTGACCAGCAGGAGAGGCTTTAGACAATAGAATTAAAAATCACACATTTAGGTTTAAGTGGGCTTGATTGAGGAAGCAGAACCTGATGCATGATCATGAGGTATGGGGAAATGTTTATTTTTTGTTTGGGTCTTTCTCAATACTATACTTATAGTCACTTGAGAAAGAAGCTTAACTTTCTCAACTCCTGAAACTTAACAATTAAAGAAATTCAAAACAAAGTGAAGTAACCATAAAACCACTAGCAGAAGTTACTATAAAGAATTTTCTCTGCTCTCAGAAATCTTATCATGACAAAGAAGATTTAAGCATGAATTTCAATACTTTTAGGAAAATGTTTATAGAAGCCTTGGTCACAATAGTATAAAATAAGAAGCAACCCAAATATTCATTAGCAGAATGATGGATAAACATATCTTCGAAAAGGAATTAACTACTGATAAAATATGCAACAATCCAGGTGCAGTTCCACACACCCATAATCCCAGCAATTTGGGAGGCTGAGGCAGGAGGATTGCATGTTCAAAGCCAGCCTCAGCAAAAGCCAGGCCCTGAGCAACTCAGTGAGAGCCTGTCTCTAAATAAAATACAGATACAAAAAAAGGTGGTGGTGGGGGGGCTGGCGATGTGGCTCAGTGGTTGAGTGCTCCCCTAGTGCAAAACAAAACAAAACAAAAAGTGCAACAACATCACAATACTCAAACTTTATATTGCTTGAAAAAAGCCAGACACAAAAGAATGCATACTGTCTAATCTATCTACATAAAGTTCAAGAAAAGGCAACACTCATTTTTGAGATGGAACACTGGTTGCCTGAGGAGGCAGAGAGAGAATTACTGGGAAAGAGCAAGAGGGAAATTTCTGGAGTGGAGACATTGTACATCTTATTCTGAGTGGTGGTTATATGGTTGTATACAACTGTCAAAATGCCTTGAACTGGGCTGGGGATGTGGCTCAAGCGGTAGTGCGCTCGCCTGGCATGCGTGCAGCCCGGGTTCGATCCTCAGCACCACGTACCAACAAAGATGTTGTGTCCGCCGAAAACTAAAAAATAAATATTAAAAAAAAAATTCTCTCCTCTCTCACTCTCTCTTAAAAAAAAAAATGCCTTGAACTGAGCCTCTAAGACCCATGCCTTATATGTAATTTGTACAAGTTTTAAAAATCCTAGAAATATTGCGTATGTCTTAGTTGTCATTGCTTTTCCAGAATTTTTTTTTAATGTCATCTTAGAGCCCTCATCTTTACTTTGCAGATTTTTGCATCTGCTTCTTAAACTCTGAATTCATTTTGGGTGCCGCAGGTGTAGCTCAGTGATAGAGTGCTGACCTGGCATGCGCAAGGCCCTGGGTTTCATCCTCAACACCACAAGAATGAACAAACACACACCTGTATTAGTCCTTATGTGACAAGCCAGTAAAGTATGGGTAAAATGTTGGGGACGGATACAGTGCTAGACCAGCTAAGTAGAGGCTCTCTGCCCTCCATCGGACTCCCTTCAGAAATCATTGCATCGATATATTTCTGTTTGGTGAGAGAGTCTCCTTGGCAGCTCCCTTAAGCCCTCACACAGCTCATAGGGATATCAACAGAAAGTCTGAGCTGCATCTTTGCCCCTGGAGATGGAGAGGCTTTGCCCTGACTCATTCACACTCTCTCACTTGGCCTCCCAACCCAGCACTTGCATTTGTGAAGCAATCGGTCTGGTTAGGGATTTAATCTGTGGCGACAGGAGCTGAAGGCCTCTCTCAGGCAGCATATTTGACTGCATGGAAATGAGAACCTGACCTTGGCCTCGTTAGCACTCTCTTCCAAACAGCTGAGTGAACCAGCCACTGGCACAGGCCAGTAATACATGAAAACACGATGAGTCCATAGAGATCTTTAGGTGCACAGAAGACTACCCTTTTCCCCTTAAGTCCTGGGTGATAAGAAGCAGATTCTCAAGTTTTTTAGTAACCAGAGTCACACTTTCATCCACACTGCTGCCCTGCTTGTCCCTTCTGTGCCCTCAATCAGATATTCAAGTAGAAGGTATGATTTTTTTTTTAACCTACAAACAAGGGTTTGTGAAAAATGTCACAATATCTGGTTCCAAAATCAAAATAGATTTGAGTATAAAACCTCATCATGCTGGGCCTCACCTCCCAACATTGTGTAAAAGCCCCTGGGAACTTACCCGGAGCACACACTTGGACAGAGTCCTGTTCTCTTCAGTCCATACCCATCAGCACCATGTGCTCATCACCCAGGCTCTTATGATCACTTAAGGTCAGACAGCTCCACGGACTCCTGCCAAGCTTGGCACAGAATTCTTTTCCAGGGCTGAAAGCTCCAGGGTCTAATATCCAGCCTCTCTAGGTACACCACGAAGTCCTTCCTCTCCAAGTTCTTCCCTGAGATGTATCACGAGCGCTGGGCCTGGGGCTCTAGTACTTGATGAAAAACCCCAAGACCACCATCCTTCTAGGTTTCAGGGAGTCTCCTCTCTGCCTCTGTTCCCCTTCCAAAGCATTTCCCTTGGGATAGAGCTTGGGAAGGGGAGGGAGGAAGAGAGAAAAATAAGACAAGAAAACACAAATTAATTTTCAAATCTACACACATATGCACACATCTTAACAATACCATCAATATGTCAGTCAGAATAGCTGCTTATTATTTGAGACTTTATTACTGATCAACTGTGAGAACTTAGACAAGTTCCTAAATACAGAAAGCCTCCCTTTCCTTATCTACAAAATGGAAATAACTTTTAGCCCAACTCTTTTACATGTCTATTTTGAGAACTAAAGTAAACAGCAATAACCTTATGCCTTTTACAAAAATCTGTTTTCCATTTATCAATTATATATTCTCTTATACAATCCTTAAAAGATGTGATAGAGTGTTTCATAATGAGTAAAAAAGGGCACCAAAGTTACATAATGTTGTACTTTTTAAATGAAGATTCAGCAATCATATGTTGATGTATTTTTTTTTTAAAGTCTCTCCCATGCCTGTCCCTGTGTTAGTCAGTTTTTCATCACTGTGACCAAAATATCAGACAAGAAAAACTTAGAGGAGGGAAAGTTTATTTTGGGATCATAGTTTCAGAGGTTCAGCCCATGATCAGCCAACTCCATTGCCCTGGGCCCAAGGTGATGCAACACATCAAGTGGGAAAGGTGTGGTGGAGGGAAGCCGCGCCCCTCAGGACACCCAGAAAGCAGAGAGGGAACAGGAAGGGGCCCACAGGGAAGATGCACCCTTTTAGGATACATCCTCAGTGACCCACCCCTTTAGCCACACCCCACTTGCCTACAGTTACTAGCTAGTCAGTCCATTCAAATTAGGATGGACTGACTAGTTTAGAGTTCACATGAGCTAATCATCTACCTCTGACTATTCCTGCATTAACAGGACACTTCATATCCAAACTAAAACGTACAGGGATGCTGGAAAGAGCCCATGGCAACTCTCAAAAGAATGAACATGTGCATCTCTCTAGGATTTGAAGTAAAGCCATGCCCTCTTTTCCAGATAGCTGTTCTCCTTTTGAAAAACTTTAGTATCGTTATTGGGCCTTATAGAAACAACACTAGCCATGGGACCTGAGCTACCTGTAATGGACTGGCAGCCATCTGATGCATTAGGCCACATGATGACACGTGCATAGCGATACTTCATCACCAAGGGAAAATGGTATACACAATCAGGCTTAAGCAGATCTTGAAGGAATGATAATGTCACGTGTGCTGATGGCTCGGGTGCCTTTGCGACAGTCTTCTGTTTTGCACTGCCATCTTCCCTTCATCCCATGCTAGGTTTTTATGGAGCTCTCCCTGTGAACAAAAGACTAAGGAAGGACCTGGCTTACAGATGGTTTTTCTCAATAGCCAGGCAAACTAGGAATAGAATATTATAACCCTCCTCAGAAGTATGCTAAAATAAAGAAATAAAAGCCAGCAAGGATGAAAATTCTTCTGACTGGGGAAAACTTGAAAAAAAAAAAAAAAAAAAAGCTCACTCTCTCCTTAGCCTGGACTGAGAGACAGCTCAGGATATGAATGGACTACACTGCTCACAGGTAAGAACCATTGGTTTGGCTGGACAATCAGGGGTTTGGAAAGAAAGGATTAGAAGATCAGATTGTTTCAAAGCCATATGTAAATGAACCTCTTAACTTTTCACAGAGCATAAGATATTTAAGGGTTATGTGAATGCTCACCAAGACTATGCTGCCGACAAAATTCTCAACAATCGGACAGAAAAGTCTAATCAATGGATGTCCATCAGCTTCTTTTACCAGACACCCAAGTACGTGCTGAATACGTTCATGTACAAAAGTCCATGACAGCAGGGTCAAAGGCTATAGATGGGCCTGACCTCTAGACTTCTAACCATGATCTGCTTACTGCCACTACTAAGTGACAACAGCAGAGGCAAATTCTGGTCTCCCATATGTCACCATTTGGTGGGAAAGGGGACAAATCCAACCTCCAGCTACTCCAAACCCTTCCATCATGAGAGCTGCAGTTTCTTTACTGGGATTGACACTTCATTCTGGATATCAACTTGTCCTCTCTACCTTTGATACTTCTCTGTCAACACACACTCGGTGGACTTATGGCTTGCCTTCATCACCTTCACCATATTGCTCCAAATTAAGGGACTCACTTCACAGCAAATATGCACAGCAACAGGTCATTCATTGAACTCTCACAGGCTTCCTGAGAACACCTTGAACCAGCCTGGAAGGTAGAATGGCTGACAAAAGATTCAGCTATGATTCTAGTTGAGAGAACATTCTATAAGATAGTCATGTTCAAGCCACTGGCCAATATATGATGCCCCACCCCCAACCCTACCCCTACCCCCAGCCAGAATCTATGGCTTTGGAAAAAGAGGCAAAAAATGGCAAGAGTTCCTCCACAGTGAATCCTAATAACCCAGGCACAGAATTTTCGCTTTCTGTTCTCACAGCTTTGTACTCCACCTGCTAAAGAGCTTAGTTCTCAAAGGAAGAATGATTCTACCAGGGAAACAAGAAGTGTGCCATTGAATTGGAAGTTGAAATTACCATCCAGCAATTTGGGTTCCTCGTGTCACTGAACGTGAGAAAGGAGGGGCGACTGCTGCTTGGTGTGATTCATTCTGTTTACCTGCATCGGTTGCTACACAGGGCTACAGGGTAGAGGAGAGCTGAGCTGAAGAGTCTCTCCAAGGCACCTCAAAGTAATTTATTGTGTCTAATAAAGACAGAACTGAGAAAGCACCCAGACCCTTTAATAGAATGAAGCTTTGAACCATCTCAACAGATAAAGAACACTAACCAGCAGACTGAAGGCAAAGGAAATGGAGATTAGGAAAGGAACTTATAAATATCAACTGTGATTTTCCAACCAGTCTCAGAAATAAAATAGCAGATATGAATAGTTTCTTGGTTTTGCTTTTCTTTTCTTTTTCTCTTTTTTTTTTTTTTGGTACCAGGGATTGAACCCAGGGACACTTAACCATTGAGCCACATCCTCTGCCATTTTTTATATTTTATTTTGAGACAAGTTCTCACCAAGTTGCTTAGGGCCTTGCTAAGTTACTGAGACTGGCCTCAAACTTGCAATCCTCCTGCCTCAGCCTCCCAAATTGCTGGGATTAGAGGGGTGCACTACCAAGCCTGGCCATGAGTTTCTTATTTATTTGTTTCTCTGCATTTTATTCCCCGTAATTCCATTATTTTTGCATAACCAATGTTGGTGACAATTAACTGTAAAACATGTATACTTTGGAGAATAAACAATAATAATAAGTAATGTCATTCAGACATGGATATGAAGAATGTCAAGAGATTTGTGTTTCCATTTTTAGGGGAAGAAAGTGAAAGCCTGTTTTCATAAAAAAAAGTTACAACTCGCTAGATAGAAGCATGCAGGTGTTACTATTGTTGTAGAAGAGAAGTTCAAAAATGGGTAGAAGAGAGCAAGGGAAAGCTTGGCAGTCACAGAGAACCTGCCATAGTTATTCACCTACAGTCTGTGGGCGCTGGACTCACCTTCTCTGTGATGCTAGGGCCAAGAGTTTGAAAAACATGTTTTAAAAACTCTTTTTACCAGCTCATTCCAAGTAGATTCTGTCAGTGAGAAGCATCAAGGGGAGATTAGAAGGGAGGAGAAGGAAAAAAGAAATCTTTTTCCTGCCTTGGCTGTTGTCAGAATCTCTGCAGCATAGAGACAACACTCTCTCACCTTTCTGGCACCCTAAGGACAGCCAGGCTAAACACCCTAAGGGTCTGGACAGCAGCCATGCAATACCCTGTCAGAACCCCAGCACCCCAGCATGGCTGCCAGGCACCTACCTCCTCAATGTTTGAACCAGCAGAGCAGAGTGGGTGCCTTCAGTGTTTATACTTAACACATGAGCCACCCTCAGAGGTCTCAGTAACAACTAACAGTGACCCCGTCCCCCAAAGCCATCTCTGAGCCAGTGACTCCTCTTCTGAGTTCCCAGGCTCTGATGCATCTCCTTCATTTCTCTTGTTCTGCAGCCCCACTGGATGACAGCCACTTCTGATTTAAAGTTTCTCTGGGTTAGCTCCCTGTCCTTTTTTTTCTTTTCCAGGATACTAATTCCTTGCATTAAACCCCCTTCTGTTTAAAGTGCCTAATACAGCCTCTCCTCTAATCCCTAGATCAGGGCAGACACCAGCATATATTTTTAAAGTTGATAAATAAAAATTTGAAAACACACACATAACTGAAATAAAAGTATTTCATATTTATAAACACCTTTTATTCTTTTGAATTTTACACTATTAAAACCTTCAGAATTCAACCTCTTTCTGCTGTGAGCCCTCAATTGTCACTGGGGTCACATAGCTTCGTGTCAATCTTCTGAGTGGCATTTTGCCCAGCTTCTAGTGTTCTTCCCCCAAACACAGGAACAGGATATATAGCCCCTGCTAGAGTGCCAAAAACAGAGGTTCAAAGAATTATTTCGATGTGAATGTGGGGAAGTCAAAACAATGACTTCAAAAATTGCAGCCTCAGCTTGTACGCAATTACAGAATGTTTTCCACACCTCAGTTCATATGCCACAAAACCAGAGATCCACTTCCTGTCTTTGAGTAGAGAGGTCATGTAGATCATCTTTAGACTGACACATGAACTTTCTAGTCCCCCCAGTTGTCACAAAGAGAAAATGACCGACGTGTGTGTCCGTGATACCTGGAAGAAACTTTAAAGAAAGTTTTTTGCTTCTCAGAAAAACAATTTTTCCTGGGCTTATGATAACATTTACAGGTCTCCTACAAGCTCTGTGCCATTCAAGTAGTTTCAAAGTTAAGAGTTAACAGAATAATAACCTTTATCTATCCTTTGCTTCCTATTTTATTTCTGTATCTCCACAACTCCAAACTAGTATCTGTACACAAGAACATAAAGTAGTTTCCCATTGGAAGGTACTTTACCAGCTGAGGTAAGAGAAGTTATCTAGAACAAGATGGGGGAGTCCCCCCCACCACCATGTGTACTAGAATTCTTGCTGTGGATAAACAAATA